CACACACACACACACACACACACACACACACACACATGCATATATGTATATACATACTTATCTTATTTTAACATCACTTTCACAATGTCACACTCTGTCCTTCTGACCCGCAGTCTGGGATGGTGGGTGCTCTAAATAATACAGAATAGATCTGACTCTGAGATCTGAGAAATCTTGATGTTAAAAAAATAAAATAAAAAATAAAAAACTCTACCCAATTCATAACTAGACATAAAAACATGCTTCTAAAGCTTGTAAAAAAAAAAGGGATTAATGGACATGATTATATCATTCAAGTCAAAGACTTATAGTAATAAAGGCTAACAAATGCTACAGAAATATATATATATATATATATATATATATATATATATATATATATATATATATATATATATATACACACATATACACACACACATGCATATATGTATATACATACTTATCTTATTTTAACATCACTTTCACAATGTCACACTCAAAAATTATTTTTTTTAGCCAGTCTGCTTAGCCCATTGCATTTGTATTACTTAAATGTTCACTTTATCCTATGCCAAAAATGAATATATTTTTAATTTACATATATAAAAATAAATGCTATTTTATGTGATGTAATTTGTATTCACAATTTTTAAACATGCTATTTACCATAAAACAAAACTAAAAAAAATTAATCAAAATATACACAATTTAATGTTACAATTTACCAATAATTGCTGGCTCAATTGGGACACTCTCACATGTTTTCCTTATTGTTGAGCCATGATAATAATGCACATGGTGAAATGGTCCTTTCAATATAAACAGATGGTTTTCATTAAACAGATGACCTGCTTTTGAAGACAGGACTGCAGATGTTTTATATGGGACAAAAAAACTCTTAGCCATGAAAGAAGTCAACAGCATCTTAACTTAATTTTCATCTATATTACAAAAAGGAGGAGAATTGATAATAGAATAGAAAGTTTCAGGGAATTTACCTAATCATGTTTGCATAAATTAGCTTTTTTCATGGGGTCTGAGTGTAACTGGAGCAGAAAGGACAACATAGAGAGGAGGAGAGGCATCAGGCATGCAAGCCCCTGAAATACAGAGCGAACCAGAGGAACGAGACAGAGACGAGAGCTGCCTGCAATATTATCTACATGCCTAGTCAGCGAAAAATGCAGTCCCAGTTGCACAAGCACCATGCCAGCACATAATGACAGAGGGTACTGTACACCGAATCACTGTGTTGGAGAGACAGAAAGAGGGACAGAATGATGAGAGAGACAGAGAAAGTGAGAGACAGAAAGAGAGAGCAATAGAGGAGAGATGAGAGACAGAGAGAGTGAGAAAGCATTACAAGGAGCCCCTAAAGAGACAGGAGGAGGAGAGCAGAGCGTGCAGATACAAACCGGGTCAGAGCTGCTTAGCTAATTGGGGCCAATTCGCTGCAGGAGAGAAATGTCGAACACCCCAAGTTGTGTACAATACTGAAAATATCTGAAATAAACTGTCCTACACAAACACTTACACAAAAAACAAACACACACGATACTGGGCACTAATGTGCTCATAAACACACACACACACCCCTTTCTCACAATCAAAATGCACACACTCTCGCTAGCTCCACTATGTGAGGTGGATGGCACACTAAGTGGTTCATATCTAAATCAGGTCAGTCTAGCTTGAATCAAATGGAGCAGACACACAGACCAGTTGCGTAACTGAATTGGTGGCGTGTTTGTGTATCAGAGGTCTTCCTCCGAGTCTGACAAACCTGACTGACTCAGAGTTAATGTATTAACGGAGCACATAAATTTAACCACTGGATGTCTGTGTGCATAGATGACTGTCCTTTAGTATTAAAGTCTAACTCTGAGAGTTGACGCACATCTTCTGAAGGGGTGGTTGGGTAGTTTTGTTTCTTTGCCTTGTATGCTCAGGGGAGTTTACAGGAGGACAGAGTGAACAGCACTACAGCTAACTGTACTGTGGTCTGCATATACTGTGGCTATCATGAGGGCCCTTGGCATCCTCCTACACTGCAGGTGAACGGAGTTCATACAGATCAACAGGGACCTACTCATGTACATGCGGACAAACACTCCAGGTCTGTACTTTGAAATGGCCTTGGATAAGGCTCTTACCAATCAAATTAAGCAATCATGGGTAACAGATCAAAATCTGTATGTCGGTCAAAGAGTCTGGCCAGTGTTGTATTATATATTGTATGCGCATGACTGTTTGTATCGTTTACCTTTTCCACAGTGTGCCATCCACTTCACATTTCAAACAAGTGTCAAAATAAAACGCTTCATTGTGGAATACCATCTAACATCACACAAGCACATCCATACTCTCTCACATCTGTGATCAAAAAAAAAAAAAGCAAGCTGATCACAGTGATTGGTACAATCCAACAGATCTCCTTCACCCGTGTCTTCATTATACAGTCACACAGGTGATGACACCAGATGTGTTCACTGAAGGCCGAGGTGGAGAACAGGGAAGGGGTCTACGGTGGCCTCCAGAAAGGGAGTGCTGACTTATTTACTGAAAAGGAGGTGATTTGACTATCTCTAAAATAAGGGAAGGGGCTGACCATAGAGGTGGTGTGGCTATCCCTGACTGGACCAATCATCCACACGCTCACACACAGGAAGCAGCTGTTCCAGTCAACAGTACAAAGTGAGGTGTGCAGCCTTACCGATTCGATGGGCTTGTCCAAAGACGCCTGTTCCAACTCCAAATGACCTTCCTCATACTGGTCAAAGTGATTTCCACCCTGAGAGGAGAGAGAAAGATGGGGAAGATGACAGATTAAAAGAGCAAACACACCCTGTAAAATTATTTATGCGCTAAAATGAAAGATGTCCTGTTAGCACTTCCCCGCCAAAAATAAAATTTCATACAAAACAAATGTTAAATTCTTAAAAAGGAAATGAGCAAACAGAACAGAGACATCCAGTTTTTGTGAACCAATTTTTAGTTTCATGCTCAAAGCTAAACTTCAGACTAACGGGATCATTCATCTGCCTTGATTCCGACAGTAGGAATTTAATCAGATGAGAAAAAAAAAACTAGGTCTTCTTGAAAGGGAGGAGGGGTGATTTCCAATCCACCTGCTCATCTTTTTCTCTATGAAAGATGGGTCAGTCAATCTAGACTATTTTCCACTTTATTCTTATTGTTTTTATCTTTTGCCACTTGCTACTTTATAGAGAAAATCTGCAGGCAGGTGAATGAGATCGGACAGGAATTAAATCTTTGTCTCTACTAGTGCTGTGTTCAAAATATCGATACGACGATGTATCGTCACAGAGATTTGACGATACGAGTATCGATACAGCTGGCCCTATATCGATATTGTGGCACGTGTGCAGCAGTGGACCGCACTTAATTTGTTTAAAATTTTACAATGTTTAAAATTGAGTAGAAAAGTGCGAGGTTTCTTAAAAAGAATGAATAGAGCATCTGTTAATAATCTGGCCGCAGAGGAACACAACTGGGTTGCCTGATATAAAGAGATGTAATCCCCGAAACAGAGCTTTACACTTGCGCAATACGGAAATATCTGCTAAATGTGTTACTTATCTTTGTCAACCTGGCAACCCTGTGCACGCCCTCTCTCCACTGTGGATAAACACGCTTGCTTTCTGAAAACACCGCTTAGCTTGCAGTTTAGCGATCTCCACTTCAATATTCTATTCTCAGAAAACTGTAATTCACCAAGTGTTCATTTATGAGAGAGAGCAAGAGCGAGAGAGAGAGAGGCTGTGTATGTATGAATTACCACCGTTTTGCCGCGTTTCTCTATTAACAGTAAAGCTGTGGCTTTAATTCCTTTAGAAACAATGATGCTACCAGCTCCTTGGTGAGAAAGCTAATGTAGCTCTAGAGCGATTAAGCTATTTAGTTGATAAAACTGCGGGACAGCGCTAAAAAGTTTGTTCCTTAATATCTGAGTTCGGCCGCAACGTGATCTGTGTGTGTGACTGAACTTAACACCAAACTGCTTGTTTCACACAAATGTCGCTTTGAACTCGTGCATCTTCGGAAGCGGAACTGTGTGGAAAGTTACAAAAAATGTCGTGCACACCGCCACGCGAAACGACGTCGCGTGCACTTAAAGCCAACACCGCGATGACGTCATATTTGCCGCGCGCACCTAAGCGAACTTGCGGACGCGTCGAGTATAAATCAACCTTGAGCGTATGTGCGTTATACAGTGAAAACAGCGCGTTAGTTTAGAACTCTTCTAAAAAAAAATATTTTTCATTGTAGAGTAAGTTTTCATATTAGAATAAGTACATTACAATATAAATTTATTAGAACAAGTACATTATTATTTATGGGCTTAAAAACAAGCTGCAAACAATCAGAATACTGTACCTGGTGGGGAGTGCACAATGTAAACATGAAACATATACCATTACCTATATTGTACTGTGGTACATTTATGGAGGCCCTTCATAATGCAGAGGTCAGCTGCCTGCTCTGCCAATAGTTAGAAATGGCAGTATAGTAAGCAGTGTTTAATAAACAGCTGTTTTTCTCAATTCTGCTGAGGTGAAATTCAGTGCAGTCATGTATCGTGATACGTATCGTATCGTGGCCTCTGTACCGTGATACGTATCGTATCGTGACATTGCTGGTGATACACAGCCCTAGTCTCTACTACGAGACTCCACTAGAGACAAAGAGAACTACTAGAGTTCTCTTTGGCCTTTTAAACATGGGGTGTATTACAATATAAACTAGAGACTAGGGCTGAACGATTAATTGCATTTGCGATATCGCGATATGAAAAAATGTGATTTTTCAACCGCAGAGGCTGCGATTACACTCGGTCACGTGACACGCGAGTGTAAAGAGGTGTGTTCGACTTGAAAATCGATCAGTGTATGACATCAAAGTACGGCGAGAGAAAGCATAAGGAGAGGTCCGCTCTCTTATAGCTCTTGCAGTACTTTGATGACACACACCGATCGGTCTAAGCAGCGCTGCTTCAAGTCGAACACATCCAAGTAGTCTTCAAAGGAAGCATCAAGTTGGCACGCAACAGTGTTGCCAAGTCCACGGTTTGTTCAGCCCTACTAGAGACCAGTCTAAAAGTAACACACTTTGTGTAAGACAACTCTTTAAAGTTGCAATGTAATGGATACAGGATCTTTGGCCTTTTAAACATGGGGTGTATTACAATATAAACTAGAGACTAGGGCTGAACGATTAATTGCATTTGCGATATCGCGATATGAAAAAATGTGATTTTTCAACCGCAGAGGCTGCGATTACACTCGGTCACGTGACACGCGAGTGTAAAGAGGTGTGTTCGACTTGAAAATCGATCAGTGTATGACATCAAAGTACGGCGAGAGAAAGCATAAGGAGAGGTCCGCTCTCTTATAGCTCTTGCAGTACTTTGATGACACACACCGATCGGTCTAAGCAGCGCTGCTTCAAGTCGAACACATCTAAGTAGTCTTCAAAGGAAGCATCAAGTTGGCACGCAACAGTGTTGCCAAGTCCACGGTTTGTTCAGCCCTACTAGAGACCAGTCTAAAAGTAACACACTTTGTGTAAGACAACTCTTTAAAGTTGCAATGTAATGGATACAGGGACAGATCTTTTCTTCCATATTATCAAGTACATCTGAGTCTATCGATAAAAAGTGGGGTGAAGACTTGGATCTATTCATCATTTGTTGATCTGAATGTGAGATCTCCGAGATCAAAAAATGAAGCATGAAAAATACGAAATGTACATGAATGAATCCTTCACAATACTTTATCAGAAAAAGGATAGCAAAATTGCTGACTTTCCTTTTCATTTTTAATTCTATTTAATGCTGACTTTAAGCTCTAAATTCACCTGAAATGTTTCATCTTAATATATGAATATTAAAGTTCATGAAGCACAGGATCATGGCAAATGAGTAGACAGAAAATTGATTAATACAAACAGAAACAGCTCAAAAGACTGACGGCAGCTAAAACTGGTTAAAGATGTCAAGCTGTTTTTGTACACCACCATCGCTCTCTGGTTCTGTGTGCTGCTACAGGGAGTCAACGCGTCCCAATGACAGGCCAATGACACCCACCCACCTGCATACACACGGCTTAAACCAGGGCTGCATTCGAAAACTGAAAAATGCTGCCTTCGGAGGATGCATTTCAAGGTAGGAAGGCATCAAGGCACGTCCGAATTCAATATTAGCTTCAGTTCCTGTCTCCTGAGATGCCTTCATCTGGCCGATTTTTGAAGGCAGCATAGATGTATCCTTCGCTGCCTTTGATATCCCACAATACTGTGCATTCCATTCCGTGACGGTTGAGCTAAAAAATAAAGATGGCGTCTCAAAGTTGTGGTCGGTGGTCAGTTTGTGTGTAAATGTACATTTCTGATCAAAGTTTTCCACTTTTGATGTCATTTCTAGCGAGAAATTAATATTGCAGTAATGAAATATTCACTTAGTTATCACCAAAGCTCTCTATATTTGCTGTAGATAATTAAACGTTACTCTGCCTCAGAAGCCTGTCCGAAATCAGTTTCATGAAGTGCCTTCGTGCAAAAACACTGCCTGCAAAGTCATTGCCTCATACGGCAGCGAGGCAGTAAGTCAGCTGAACTGGCCACTACAAGATTCTGAAAAACACCATTATAAATTCACTCTCAACAATACAATTTGACGTTTATCTGGAGCAACAACATTCAATAGCAGACTCCCACATACATCTAACAGGAATGTTGTGTGCTCTTACACACGCAAACAAAGAAAAATATGCTCTCAGAAGGGTCACGATTTGACAGAGTCGTCAAAATCTTTATTGTCCATTTATTGTTTATATTTTGTTATAATACAGAGTCCCAAACTGAACAGCTGTATTTTTGTGTAAACGATTCCTTTATTATTACAATATAAATTATTTATCTACAATCCAAGCTAGATTTTAATTTATTTTTTTCTGCGGAGTCATGTGTTTCTCTAATACAGTCTCAAATGATGGGGCTAATGAGCTGTTTTGATTTTTAATGACTGCAGAGTCATGAGAGACATGGAAATAGTATGTTGCCATGGACAGCAGTGAAATATCCACTTTCATTGGTCTAGGCTTGCTGCGATAGTCGTTGTTGATGGTGTTATCGGTGTTAAGCCACACCACCGGTTACGTCACTTGCCTACCGTGGCACTTGGTTCCACAGTTTTTAGGTTTTTTTTTTTATATTAACTTTGTAAGTTATTTTATATTATGCGTATAGCATGGTGTATTTATTCTGTTTGTTAACAGAACTTCTATTTTTAATATAAGTGAGTTTGTCGTTGTACTGTTTTGTTGTTGTCCATTCAAGCAATTGACGCCGAATTGCTAATTCGAAAAGTAGAAGTAAAATACGTATGATCATTTACAAGCTATTTAAAAGTGAAGGAAAGCATGTTTACCGGTGTTGTCACACGTCAATTAACCAGTGGGAAAATTTCCTCACCATCACAACCCTACATTGGTCATATCTGACTGTTCGATGCATCAACTGACCAATCCGAGTCAAGTATTCTAGAGAACTGTATAATACATGAGTGCTGACTGCCTTGTTCACATTCTCATTAGTAAAATATGAGCAGTGGAATCATACAGACCTCCCATAATGAGTCTGACCCTTGTAATCAGCTGTTCGGGTGAACGCAAAGCAAGCTCTCAGGCAGGATGGCTGCTCCCCTGATGTTTAACTGAGTGTTTTTTGTGTGTGGATGTGAGTGTAGAGTGTAAATTCTCGGAACAGGTGCCGTTTAATGCCTAACAA